GATGGTTGAGTCACGACTTTCATGATTCTATTTGTTTCTTGTTCAGTGTTTGAAAGGTTCAAATAGGGCACTTTCGATTTTTTGCGATTCGCGTGAACTGCGCCACGGTCGCGAACTATGACACCATCCTTCAGTCCATATCTCGAAGTCAGATTAGGTGTGTCTGTGGATTTGACGTGGCCGTCGTCGCACTTGATAGAAGCCGTGTGGATAAGCTGTTTCTAACATACTCCATTGGATATCAGCAAAGCATGCTGAAGCAAATTATCCGCGCAACTTCCATCAATGCGGAGGCCGCCACTTCATACCCATAGACACCCCTAACCTGACATATGGAGTATAACAATTAGATGCAACCGTTAGCACCACGCAGACGGAAATGCGTTAGTTTTTCGCTCAAAAGTTGCAACAGGACCATACGATGATCAAACCCCAGGTATGGGCACATGCTAGAGCCTAGTTAGACGCCTACGAGCAAACTAGGAAGGTCCTAATCAGGGGCGACTCGACCTACTAGGACGCGATGTAACCCTTCTAAATTTGAATTTGACTCGGATCCAAGATGAATTCACCTCAATGGAGTACAGCCAAATGTTCTTAAAGGTTTACGATGAGTACGCGGATTTTAGTTTGATGAGAGCGCTCTCGAAAGTCAAATGCCTAGTGGCAATGCTAATATGTGTACACAAAATAATGTTGTGTTGCGTAACTCCAGCAAGAGTCGTAGAAACGCTCATTCCGCAGAACCTCAGACATTCTTAGCGGTGCTTACACTATTACCTACTGTTAAGCTTCGTAGCAGTGTGAGAAATCCTACTACCTACTGTTAAGCTTCGTAGCAGTGTGAGAAATCCTACATGTACCAGAAAAGGAACTAACGAAAAACTAACAGACAAATGTAGCTTCTTCAATAGATTTCTTGATACGAGGCATCCAATAACGGAAGTTCCGCTCGTCCACTTCAATAGCCGCCATTCATGAAATTGCCCCTTAATGCTCAGATGCAGATGCACAGCATATCAGTTGATATACTCAGTTCCTCTACAAACAAGG